AATTATATTTTTTCTTGTGAACTCTGCCATTTTTTTCATCCTGTGGTGGATAAAGGCATAAAAATATGTTTGGTAGAAACAGTGTAAAACCATAAACAATGCTCCATGGCTTCATCTTAGCTTTCTGAAGTATGTAGATCTAAATTGAAATAAAATGAATTTGGACATGGCCAAGTGTTCTTTTCTTTTCTACATTAATTATTTAAATTAGAAACAAAATTGCTTGACATGTCAATCTTCAATCCCTCTACCTTTCCTCCTCTCCTGACCACTACTAATTCCCTACTCATACCATACCCTTATGCTCCCCAGGGAGTGTGAAGCCTTCCATAAGTGGTCTTCAGACCCTGCCATATCCTTTTGATAGCACCTAAGCCCTCCCCCAAGTGTCTAGTCTCAGGGAGTAACCCTCTTTGTGGAATGAGCTCCGAAAGTCCATTCCTATGCTATGGATAAGTACTGATCTACTACAAAAGGCCCCAGAGATTTCTGAGGCCTCCTCACTGACACCCGCATTCATGAGGCCTGAATCAGTCCCATGCTGGTTTTCCAGCTATCAGTCTGGGGACCAAGAGCTCCCCTTGTTCAGCTCATCTGTTTCTGTTTCACCAGCCTGGTATGGACCCCTTTGCTCCTCAGTCCTCCTTCTCTGGAACTGGATTCCAGTTCAGTTCAGTGTTTCGCTGTGGTTCTCTGCTTCTACTCCCACCAGCAGCTAGAAGAAGGCTATATTATGGCATATGAATTAGACATCAATCTCATTATCAGGAGAGGGCATTTAAGGCAGCCTCTCCAGTGCTGCTTAGATTGTTAGTTGGTGTCATCATTGTAGCTCTCCAAACATTTTCCCAGTGCATGATTTCTCTTTAAACCTATAATATCTCCCTCTGTTATATTATTTCTTATCTTGCTCTATTCTGTTGTTCCCCCAACTCAACCTCCCTGCCCCATCATGTGTTCCTCAAACCACATTTATGCCACTTTTTCATCCTGTGGTGGATAAGTACATAAAAATGTAATTGGTAGAAACAGTGTAAAACTATGACCAATGTTCCATGGCTTCATTGCAGCTCTCTAAAGTATATAGATCTAAATAGAAATAAAATGAATTTGGTACTGGCCAAGTGTTCTTTTCTTTTCTCCTTTTCTATTGAAATTAGAAACACAATTGCTTTATATGTCAATCCCACTTCTCTCTCCCTCCCTCTTCCCCTGCCTCCCCACTAACTCCCAATCATCCCATGCCCTTTCTGCTCCCTAGCGAAAGTAAGGCCTTCCATAGGGGTGGGAGGAAGAACTGTGGTTGGAATGTAAAACAAAATCAAAAAACAAAAACAGAAAAAACGAAAATTAAAATTTAGGTTATTTTATGAACACATGTCATAAGGAGTGGGTCAATAGGAAAGGAAATGAGAGCAGATAATCAATTCCAGACTTGATTAAAATACATATGCATGTATAAAACACTCAGATATCTTAAGTAATAAAGGTTAAATAAAACCTCTAAAAATTGAGAATGATGGTTTGTGTTGGAAGAAGTCAGTGAAGTGTGGAATCCAAAGGGGCAGAAGGACTTCTCTCACTTTTACACGAGAATCTGACCTCTAAGATTCTATAACCTTCCACAGGAGACCCAGTAACCCTTCTGGAATCATGAAAACTCATTGCCTCTCCCTAACACCTTATCCCACCGGGTAAATACACAAGGAACTCAAAAAATGTCTTTGCCAATTAACAACTAAAAATTTTGTTTATGGTCTAGTCTCTCACACCTAGTGCTGTCCTTGTCACTGAAGGTGAAACGAAAATTGCAGTTCTGGAGGGAGGTGAGGTCACAGAGTCACAGACCTCTACATCACCCTCGTTCTAACTCTCCCACACTGAGGCTTATTAATGACTCTGGATCTGCTCATTGAACCAACCAACCTGCAGAGACAAGAAGCCTGGTGAGTACTGTGTATTTCAGTCTGAGTGGTAAAATTAGAAAATAAGAGAGTTCTGAGCAACTGCTCATGTCTTGTATGGGATCTTGTGTAGAAATAGATCCATGGACTAGACAAAATGCACAAGAATAAGTTGCACAGCTAAGAGATGAGCTAGACAGATCCAAGTTTTCCTAACCTTGTATCCATTTTATCTTAATATAATCTATGTTTTCCATGGAGTGTGAGTTTGAGTAAGACAAGGATAATTCAGCCCAAATCACTATCGGTTTAAGGTTTTTATTAAAAAGTCAATGTGATAATTCACAACACCTTTCATATTGTGTAGACTATAACTTCAGTAATAATTTTTTCAGCTTATTTCACTATGGTTTCATGTCATAGAAAACAGTATAATGAAAATAAAAGTCACACACATCCCAGAGAAGAGCAGGATGTGACTGTGATTTGTGGAGTGTAGAAGCAGTACCTGAATACCTAGTGAATGGCATTTATTGATATTGGAAGGCAGAGCCTTGTTCATGGCTAAATATGAATTAACACTTAGCATGTTCAATACTAACGCTGGGCGGCATTTAATGCTCACAGCGGAGAAGATTAGAGATTTTACATTCTTGTCATTGCATTATATCATTTACATGCCTATTTCTGTGTGAATTCATTATACATTTCATTCTAATATGGTTCTTAATGTAAGAATTACAAATATGACAGATGTATTTTAAAAATCCTTTAATCACAGAACTTTTCTGGAAGAGAAGGCACATCTCTGTAAACTTGAGTTCAACATGGTCTATAGAGTGAGTATTAAGACAGTCAGAGATAGAAACTGGTGTCCAGTTCTGTAAAACAATAATATCAGGAGGCAGAGGCAGTCAGAGTTTGAGTGCCGCCTGGTCTCCAGAGTGACTGCCAGGATAGGCTCTACAGCTACATGGAGAAATCCTGTCTCAAAAAACCAAAAAAAAAGAAAAAACAGTAAAGAAGAGTGCATAAATGCTGAATTTTAAAAGAAATATTTTAGCAACTTAGTATATATCACATGGTATTGGCTATTAATCACATATTAGTGTTTCCTTATATAAGTTGAACAGATTTAATGGTGTTAGTAATTCCTCTGTGTACCTAGCATATTCTTCATCCCCGAAATGTTAGCAATTCATATTTTTGGTGGCATCAAATATATCAGATCCATTCTGTAATTCTGAAACCAAACTGTAGGACGACATATTTTTTTTATGTCAGGGCATACCATACTGAAAACAATGCCTCCAGATGCACTGGAATTTGAATTTACCTAAGACATAATCCGTCATGTAAATGTTAAAAATTACTTGTTTCATATATTTCATTACTTTTTGAATGTCTTTTAAATTACTTTTGAATGTCTTTTAAAACATTAATGTCTGTTTTCCCTGCATGTCAATAAGAGCACAGTGAGAATTCAGTGCTTTCAGAGGCCAATAGATGATGACAAAAGCCCCTGAAACTGGAATTGCAGGCAGATATAAGGCACCCTATGGGTTCTGGGGAACAAAATGGGATCCCCTGCAGCACCAGCACATTTTTCCTCAGCACTGAGCGTCCTCTCTATTCACCACAAAAGAAAACTTTTTACTGCACAAGGCATACAATAGATTACCAAAAACATGAGCAGAATTCTCTAGGGTGTGTCTCCAGTGCACAAATGAGGGAAACTACTATTATCTGCTACTTCCCAAGGTCATCAGTTTGTTTTAAAATCTTCATTTTCCAACATAATTGCACAAGCTGACTATCATTACATGGCCGAATGGTGAGTGGAGCAATCACACCCTTCCTGAGGCTTCTTGGTTCAGCCTGGTACTAATTCACACCTGCTTCTCCCTACATTTTCAGTGGAATCTCACACTTTTTGAGAGGGTTTAAACACATTCTCCTGAGGGAATAGAATAGAATATTCTGTCTTGAGAGTCTTCTCCCAGTGCACTGATGGGCTGTCTAATTCAGGGCCAATTTCTTCTCCCATTTACAAGTTAGAATTCTGATTGGTGACACATTATCCCAAACATAGTTTCAACAGAGATCGTGAACATTCCTGCATTAGATATCATTCTTCAGATGGTGACATTAACCTTACGATTTCAGCTGACATATTTCTGTGGGCTATCATCCCATTGAATGTCCACAGTGCTCTAACAGTTGTAACCTAAGTATGTACATATCTGTGTTTCTGTCTGTAATGTGACTTGCATAAAAGATAGATCTTAACATAAGATACATGCTGTTACTTAAACCATCATTTGAATGCATTTTATGCCTTTTATACAATTTTCATATGTAACTGTAGAAATATCATGAATAGTATTATAAGTTTTTCATTTATCAGATTTTAATGTAAATGAGATATACAATAAGAATTAGTAATTCTTTAGTTTGGTACAAATCATTGAAATTTTCTTCATATACAGCATAGTTAGAAAATGCTTGTTTGTTACCACAGTCTTGAACTATGCTTCCTGGTATTGCCTGTTGTACCAATTGCTTCTAACAGGCCAAATAAAATATCCCACTGTTGACATACTCTATGATATGATGAAGGCATACCATCCATTGACATAGTCATGATCCGGCCTTCTGGCTTCTTAATGTCAATTTTATTCTAAGTTATAATTGATAATATCATAAACATGGAGAAATTTTTGTTATGTAGTATAGTCTGGTTTGGCGATTTTGCCTCTCTTTAGATTTTGGGTTATTAACATTTTTCATTCATTTTAACCAGAGAAATGTCTTTGTCAGTTATTTAAAGAGAATCATGCCTAATAACAGAATGTATTTCCGGACTCTGATCATCAAAATAATTTTCTTATCACTAACTACAATAGGAATTCTTGGAAATTTCTCTGTGTTTCACTACTATCTGGTCTGCTATGCAGA